CCCCCCCCCCCCCCCCCCGCACTTGAACACCTTGCTTGGGGTTCCTCCACAGGCTGGCAAGCTGTGGGCCAAACGCGCTGTGTCGAACGGCGTCTCGACCCCCGTGGGCGATCAGTGTTTGGATTGCCGTGACTTCCAATGGGGCACTTCCCCAGTCTGGAGGAGCTTCGAGGAGGTGGCCGCCGAGAACACTGGCAACGAGAACAATGCTGTGTCTGCTGGTCTCGCAGTGAAGAGGGGGGAGAAGGCGAGGGATTTCATTCCTTCCACGGTGACGGCGTCGCATTCCTCGGGCTACACGGTGAAGCGGTACGTCAATGTTCTGAACGCCAGTGAGTTGAGGGCGGAGCTCGACAGGGATCCCAAGGGCATGGTCGTGAAGCACGTCCCGACTATGATGCTGCCGAACCCCAGGGAGCCAGGATCGGTCGAGAAAGTGTGGCACTTCGAATACGACCCGCTCAGCAAGTACCGCGTGGTGGAGTTTTTCGACACCTTCATGGCGGATCGTTGCACTCAGAGGCTCACCCCAGATCGGCACTACTTCAATCAGCAGGACTCGAGGTGCCTGAACAAGGTTTGCGGCGAGGTTCTCTCGGAGGCGCTTGTACCGAACGAGAAGGGCGCAACGCTTGAGGCTTCCTTCATCGTCGCTCCGCCCACGCTGGACGACATCAAGGCGAAGTCCGCAGGGCTGAACGAGCGCAGGGACTCCAACAGAGCTGCGAGGCGCGGCGCTGACCACATGGAGCCGACTACGCGGGATGACCGCCTTGGCGGTGATGGTGGCGATGGCGATCCTAGCGATGAAGGTGGCGCCGTCGTCGTCGAGGCAGCCTCGTCGGGGTCGAGGCAGCCGCCGCTGCCACCGCCTGCGGCACCTCGTCGCCAGAGTAGCGGCATGTCGCTCCACAACGATCCGTTGACTCCGATCGCTGCCAGGACTCCGCCTGGCGGCGCCGCCAGGTCTCCCGAAGGTATGGACGATGCCGCCTCCATGGCAGGCGAGTCGTTGGTCAGCTTCCGGACTGCGGGCGGCTTGGAGGGCAGCCAGCTGCCAGCGCAAGTGCGCATCCAGTCGTTGAATTAGGAGACCGTCGTTGTCTACATGGAGAGTAGGCTTTCATCCTTAGACTTCGTGGGTGCCATGACCAAGGGCAAGCAGGGGGTCGCCAAGCATCACGTGGCCGACGCTGCCGAGAAGCTGCACAAGCACGGTTGGACGGACGAGGCAAAGGAGATGCGGAAGAAGCTGAAGATTTTCAACTACGCCGAGATGCTGCACTACTCTGTGATCATGGATCAGTCGCCTGAGATGTTGCACCTAGCTCTGGACGCGCTGAAGGACGAAGGCATTCCGATCCCGAGTGATGTTCACAAGAACTTGTTGCACAGGGCGAAGAACGAGCAACTCAAGGGCAAGTGCGACGAGAACATGGCCAAGGAGCTGGTCACCATTACCTTGCCTTGGCGGGCGTCGCAGGTCACCGCTGGCGAGGTCTACAACGTGAAGGCTCCGAAGGCCGCGCTGTGCGAGTGTCTGGACTCGCCGTGGAAGGTGTCGTTCTTTTCGCAGGTGGTGGGTACAAAAATCATTGAGCCGCTGATCATGGCGGGCGACGGCGGCATGCCCGTCTTGAGCAGCGTCCTGGAGTACATCGAGAAGTTCTGCATGGAGGTCGCGGAAGCTGAGATGGAGGTGAGCCATTGGAACATCAGCGAACCGTGAACCTTGACAAATCCTGTTTGCACATGCGCTTGCATATTAACTAAGACCTTCGGCTCATGCCGCTGCCGTGCCTGCGCTGTCGTTCAGAGGCATCCTGAAGGCATTGTTGCCAGTGGTGCTTCTCGGTTGTTTCCTGGTGGTTTCTCGGGGTGATTCTGGATGTGTTATGTTGTTTTGGGTGGGCGCGATTTTCATGGCTTATCTTGGTGGCTCGGTAAGGGCCTCGCGGGCCATTGTTGCCGTGCCTCGGTGGCTTCTGCGAACCGCTTTGGGCCATTTTGGGGGCGGTGTGATCGTCAGAACTGTCGGCGTTGCCTCTCGGAGGCAAATCTTCGGCCCTACAGTGTTGGGTCGGGCCGCCATGTATGGGGAGGGGGCTGGGACATCGCAAATGTGATCAGGGGCCTTCGGGAGGCTATCCTGGATGCGCCTCTGGGGGCGGCGGGTAGGGTGCTGGCGGCCCTCCGGGCTCCCTCGATCTCGGAGGGGAGGCCAACCATGAGCCTCAAGAAGTCTCCCAGAAGGGCCTTCAGAGTCCCAAGATGGCGCCTCGAGTTTCCCGATCGGAAGCGCGCAATGACAATGCAACGCTTTGCAATGACACTGCAATCCACCCAACTCCCTGGGTGCGGGCGGGCATGAACCGCTCGGGCCCCTCAATTCTCGGTCGGGGGTGAGTCGTTCGGGCCCCTCCGTTTTCGGTCGGAGGTGAGTCGTTCGGGCCCATCAGTTATCGGTCGGAAGTGAGTCGGTCGGGACCCTCCGTTCTCTCGGTCGGAAGTGGGTCGTTCGGGCCAGTCTTTTCTGTCGGGGATGGGTCGTTCGGGCCTCCCGCTCTCGATCGGAGATGGGTTGTTCGGGCCCCTCAATTCTCGGTCGGGGGTGGGTCGTTCGGGCCCCCCGCTTCTCGGTCGGGGTGAGTCGCTCGGGCCCCTTAGTTCGTGGTCCTATAGTTGGCGCCTCTCCTTGCTTGCTGGAATACGTTTCGAAAACACGCTTTGCTAGGGTGGCAGCCGCATCGCGATGCGCAAGAATTGAACATCCAATGCGCACGATCCAGGAGGCCGAAGAAACTGCCAAAACCTCTGCCCTGATGTTTTCAGGACGTCGCATGTCTGGGTCTGCCTGCGACGCAGGTTGCGCAACCAAGGTGTCGGTGGCCCGCCCACTCCAACTGACCCAAGGCCGATCTCAGCCTAGCATGACAGCCGCATAAAAATGACCGCGGTCATTTTTTATGCGCCTTCGGTTGAAACAACGGCGCAGAAGGCGCCACCGATGAGAGGATCTCTCCTGGAGATGACGCCCTGCTGGCAAGCTCGACAAGGGGTCCCCTCCCGAGTGGCATGTCCTCCTCCGCCTCCCCCCTCTGGGCTGGGAAACTAACCATTTCCCAACGTCGGCGTGCCCATCGTTGCATTGGGCGTCGTGGTGGCGGTGGCCATCATCGCCGCCGCCGCCGCCGCCGCCGACGCAATCGCCCCCGTTGCCGACGGAACTGCGACAGTTCCCCCGCTGGGCGCGGCATATGGTGTGCCCTCGGCCGCAGAGGGGGACAAGCACTCATATGGGTTGCGCTGCGGGTTGCGTCTTCAACAACAGAACCCCAACACGCGTCCTATCGGGTGCGTCATAGGTTGTACGATCGGCCGCCGCGAATAAATTGCAACCACTTGGTTGCGCCGTAAGTTGCGCCCTCAACCGCCGAAATAAAACGCTCTCCTATTGGGCTGCGCTGAAGGTTCCGCTTCAGCCGCCGCGGGAACGCGTCTTCTAGTTGGCGTGCCATTGGTTGCCCCCACCCCCCTCGCCCACCGAGACAAAAACGCATTATCGCGTTCATCGCGCCTTTTGTTGGTCATTCGGTTGCCGAGGATATAACAATTTCGCATGTGTGCGCCATGTGTCGCGCCATCGACAGCAAAGAAACACGTCATCTCCTGTTGGCTGCGCCATGGGTTTCGGCTTCGGCCTCTGAAGCTACCACCGCCTCCAACTGATTGCGCCATAGGCTTCGCCGCCAAACGCCGAGAACATAACCGTCCCTTATTAGTCGCACAAGAAGTTGCGCTGTCGGCCGCAGAGCATATTGGTCGCGCTACAGGGCGCGCCCCCTGCCGCTGAGAAAAGCACAACGCCCCGCACTCATGGCGCCATAAGTTGCGAGCTCGGCCGACAAGACGTGAACCGCCCCTGGCTGCTATCCCAGAGGTTGCGCCCTCGGCCGCCGAAAAGAACCGTTGTCCCTTATTTGCTGCGCGTTGGGTTGCGCCCTCGGCGATCGAGAGTACAACTGTGCATCGCTGGTTGGGCAAACGGTTGCACCCTCGGCCTCCGATGCGAAACCCGCGCCGCATTGGTTGCGCCAACGTGTGCGCCTTCGGCCGCCGAGATTGCAACCGCCTCGTGAGGGTTGCGCCATGCATTGCGCCCTCGGTCGGCGAGACTACAACCATGACGCATGGGTTGCGCCAGAAGTTGCGTCCACGGCTGTCGGGGATACAAGGTTTCTCGTTGGTTGCGCTCGAGGTTGCGCCTCGGCCGCCGAGGATCGCACCGCGCCCCATTGGTTGCCCATGGGGTCCGCCTTCAGCCGCCGAGAATGAAAACGACGCGTGGTGTTGGTCCAGCTATGGGTTGCACGTCCGTTCGGCGATAATGGACCAGTATCGCGTTGGTTGCGCCAATCGGATGCACCCTCAACCGCCGAGAAGAAAACCGCATCCTGCGGGTTGCGCCATAAGTTGCGCGCTCGCTCGGCGAGAATAAGACAGCCGCACATTGAGTGCGCCATGGGTTGTGCCCGCGGCCGCCGAGACGAAATCTGCCTGCATTGGTGGCGTCATAGGCGGGTGCCTGGGTCGTCGAAATCAAACCAAGTCCCCCCTCGGTTGCGCAATAGTTTGCGTCATCCGCCGCAAAGGTTGACATCGTCTCGCATATGGCTCGCCAAAGGTTGCGCCGCGCCGAGATGGAAATCGCATCGCGTTGGTTGCGCCATAGGTTGCGCCCTCGGCCGCCGAGAATGCCACCGCTCGCATTTGTTGCGCCATAAGTTGCGTCCTTGCCCGTCGGGGACCCACCCCACATTGGTTGCGCCATGAGTTGCGCCATCGGCCGTCGAGAAAACACAGTTTCCTGTTGGTTGCGCTAAAGCGCGCGCGGACGGCCGCCGATAATCAAACCGTCTATTGTTGGTTCTGCCGTAAGTTGTATTTTCGCTCGCCGAGAACAAGGCCAACAATTCGAGTCGCCGTAGGTTGCACCTCCGCACCCGAAAACGTACCGCCGCCTAGTTGCGACATGGGTTGTGCCATCGGCTGCTGGGAATAACCCCGTCATGGGACAGGTGCGACCAGTCGCAATTCAGGTCAGCGTGTCGGAGTTTCCCCCAGGGGAATGTTCTCCTGGCTGCCCCCGCCATCACAGGTCCACCAAAAAAGTCTTGGGCTCGCCTGTTGTCTGGCCGCACCGCACCCCGCGTGCTTGGATGCCGCGTTCGCCCACTCTGTTGCGGTGGACGTATTGCCTTCTCCCACCGCCACTGGCGCGCTCTTCCCTCAGCCCCTCCCCCCCCCCCCCTTCATCCTCACCCACCCGACAGAAATGGAGGGGCAGGAGGGCCAGATGTATAACATGTACAGTGACGTGCATGATGTACATGGATGACAATGGCGCACGCGAGCTGTTGTAATCGTTCACGCTTTGCGAATCCTCACCAGCCCATCCAACAATACCCACTACAACGAATGGCGCTCTCCGTCGGACGTTGATTCCGCTTTCTCCTCCTCTTTTGCTTCTGGCTGCACCCCTACCCTTCTGCTCATCTCCCGTGTTCCCCATCGTTCCCCTCATCTTGGCTCGCGCGGGTGGTTCGACAAGCTTCGCGCGAGCTCCTTCGAAAAGCTTGCGCGGAGATCTTGGGCGCGTGTACATTGGGTCGTCTTGGAGGGCCGGAGGCGTCTCTTGAAGACAACCTGGCATGAGAAGCCGCGGCGTCGATGGCACCCCCCTGCCCCCGCTGGGGGCCGCGATTTTTGCGATGGGTGTCAAAGAATAGCCCTCCCAGGGGTCGCATAGGAGGCCCTCAATTGCCAGCGGAGCTCCCCCTCCAGGCCCAAGGGGATGGGGGCAGGGGGAGGGGTGCCCGCAAGTGGAAGAGGGGGGGGTGCATCGAACGGGTTACCTACCACTCACGTTCAGAGGGCTGGTGTGATTTGAAGGGTTGATTTCGCGTTCTGAAGGTGCGTATGGGTCCACCGTGGTTTCGCCGCGTTGCCGCCGACGTTCCATCGAGGTTCGATGCCGCATGGTTCGCTCGGTGGGTCCGCCTAAAATTCGCCTCGTTGTCTGGCGCCGCCTCCTTGCCGCATCGCGCGATCGGTGGCTAAGCAATTGCAGTTCTGACAATGTGGAAGTTCGCTGTGATCTCTGCGGGGTTGAGACAGCCCTGCGGGAATTCGCCACTTGTCGCTTCTGCCTGTGCCGCCGCGTTGCCCTTCCGATGCCGCTTCGTGCGGCGCGTGGGTCCGCCGAGGTTTCGCAGCGTTACCGTCCGCGCCGCCTCGTTGCAATCCCGTGCGTTGGGTCGGTCCGCCAAATATTCGCTGCGTGCGTCACGTTGCCAGATCATGCGGCTAGCCGTCTTGTTTCCCTCGCGCGTGGGTCGGGCCACAGCGATGATAGCCGCGCCTCGCTACCAATAGCTACTGTAGCCACATCGCACGGGCGTAGCGTTCGGCACCCAAGCTGGCGATTGCCTCTGCGACGCATATGCAGCATGCTATGCCCAGCCGCATCATCGTCTCGGTCCAGGGGTGCTAGAGGCGGGGGTCGGAGCTGCACGGGGATGGCACTTGTCTGGTAGGTGCGAGCTTATTTGGTCCATCCGTGGTCCTCCCAGGTGCCGTCGGCGGAGTTGTCGTGTCTGGTCGATATGATGGATACCATTACGTTCGTGTACCAAATTCTCAATCCGAACCTGTTGCTGGCCGAGGACG